AATTTTTTTCGGCTATGGCGCCCTACATAATTAACCTTCCTTCCGCGGAACCCAACATTATAAATAAAGTTAATTAAAGTAATTGCAAACCTTAAAACCTATAAAAAACTATTTTTAAAATATTTAATTATATAAATGCAATTTTCTTTTCGTTTTATCATTAATATTCTTAAATTAGATATTATGTTCGAAAGTAAAGATACAGTTTTTGTTCTTTATGAACTGTAGTTATGAAATTGTATTTGGAGTATATAGTACATGCATGGATAAAATAAACCGAATTATGGTTTATTTCAAGATAAATACTGTTGAAAATGGCTATTAGGGAAACATATTTCCTCATTAATAAATTAGATTATTTTGTTTTGAAAAGCACGAAAGGAAATACTAATGCAGTATTTTATAAATACTTGTTTTTTTTTCCTGATTTGCTCAATATATTGTAATTAGAATTATTCTATTTTCTTTTAAAAAATGCCATTTCCATTTCATTTTACTTGACATAATTTCATTTAAAGCAACCGAAAGATTAAATAAATTATGAATTATAGGTTTTCAAAACTCGTCACTGTTTTTAAAAAGTACTCTAACTCGTGCAAACCATTTCACTTTTCAACGGAGCCCTAGTAGTGTTCTAGAACATATATAGCGTTAGGACAATTGTTTCAATATTATAATTTGTCTAAAGGAGAATCAAAATATTCTCCCCCACCATACTTTATTTAATGAGTTAGGTCAGCTGTTCACAAATTTTTTTCCTGGCTTAGTTGATTGTAAAGTTCGGTAAAAATTTTCGGCTACCAAATGATTAAATAAATTATGAATTGTAGGCTGAATTTAAATATAACCACAGGATTCCAAAACTCATCACTGGTTTATGAAAAATACTCTAACTCGCGGAATCCACTTCACTTTTCAATGGAGACCTAGTATTCCTCAGAACAACATTTGGGAATCGCTGTTCCAGAAATGATCAAAAAATAGCGTAAATGATTAAACTTCTTTTGGTGAAACCCGGGAGCTCTGAACATGATTAACAAACCTGAACTATGTTTTTATTAAAATGAGAAAGAACTATTATGAATGTTGAAAATGATTATCAAGGAAGCTTATTTCTTTACTGTTAAAATTAGTTATTTTATTTCGGATTATAAAGTCTGATAAGAAATATTAACACAATATTTCATAAATGCATGTGGCAGGACTCGAAAAAACTCAGAAATTTTACCCGTCCCCGAGGACGGTTTGTCCAACAATGTACCCGTCCTCCTTTGAAACTAACCCGTCGCTTCTAAATAAATAAAAATATAATTTGCTCTTATTTATTACAAACATTTATATAAATTGCACAATGAATTAGTAGTTACTAGGATTACAAATNGAAATTTGTTGTCCACGGGGAATTTTTGACCGCCGAGGACGGGCGGTTTTTCGAGCCCTGGCATGTGGTTTCATAATCTATTTAATATACTTGCTGAATACCAGTTCTTCGTAAGGAGTAGGGGAAAAAGTAAATAATGAATTAATACTAAATGACACAACAAAATCATGCACAAAACAAATATACCAACACACTTATTAAAGCTATAATAATTATTTTTTATTACATCTTGTCCTACCTGGTGGCTTTTCGTTATTAGATTATACAAAATAGGTTTTTAGTACTTCATCCTGTAAGATTAAATGTATTTTGTATCATTTAGTATGATAAAGTTGCTCTGGTGCAACTTCGGTTCAGTGGCCGTTCGAGTGGCCGTAAGAATTCTCTTTCCACAGTATCTATTATAAAACTGTCTAGTATTGATACAGTTTTAATATGTACCAAATTTAATAATATAATGTACAGTACTTATATTAATATATCTGGTACCTAATAAAATTGCGCCAAATACCGCAATACCAGAACTGCAAATTATCCCAAATAATTAAACATTATTGGCGTTAATAATGGTATGGCGATTTTTTCCAAATGAATCAGTATAACTTCCTAATTAAGTTTGTTTCTTAGTATGATAACTTATTTTTTATTTCAGTTAGTATCTACCTATTTCCAAAACTAATCGAGCATAATTGGCTTCAATAATAATAATGCGATTTTTTCATGTTTCTGCTAAACGAATTTGTACTATTTCTCCATTTTGTTTTTCAATACATATTTTTGTTATTTCCATTACCGTCATCAGCAGATCGCTTATAAGCAAAATGGCGGGTTAAAATTGAGCTAAGTTTCTTCACGCATCGAAATTGCTGAAATAAAATTCGGTCTCGTTTACGTCTATTACTAAACTTAGATTTATTATTTGTCCATGTATTTTATTGTAAACCTGATTTATTTTTGTTTCGTGCACCTGGCTACTTCAATGAATAATTAGTTTGCTTTTGCCTGATTTTGTTTTAAGTAAGAAATATATAGTGAAATAATTGAAATCTTTGTAAAAGAATATAGAAAGTGTCACTTAAGAGAATCGATACTTGGTGGGCTTAATTTACTCGAAATAGAAGGGAAAATAACAGTTGCTAACATAAACAAATGCCACGTTTCAACAACCAATCAGGATCGAAATACTCACACTACATCACTTGCAACTATCCAATTATAAACGAAATTAAGAAGTGGATAGTTTCAGAAATACCACTTATGCAACCATTGAGTTTATCTGTCATAACGAATAAAAAAAATAATAGAATATGAAACGTGAAAAAAAAAAATTTTTTATGAGAGCTATAAGCTGACAAACATCACTGATTTCGTCTTAATATTTGGAGAAGCGAAACACAATCACTTGCAGTTTAGTTTTTTTCAATGGATACTTCTAAATTCCATTATAAAAAATATTCTTGCAAACGATAAAATTTTTTAGGATCAATAGCTAAAATTACCCCTCTTCCACTGCCTAAATTTCAGGACGCCAGATCAAACCGTTCTGGAATTAAAAGAGTAATACACACTGACACTGGCAGACAAACCCTTTATTTTATTATGGATTAAAAAAATATTCTTTTTAAAAAAATTAATGACTTTTTTGACGCTTAAATTACTTCTTGTAACATTAAATAAATGGATTATCATTACGTATTTCAAAAATCATTATGGGTCAAAAAAAAATCCTAATTATCAGAAAAGCCCTACTAAATACCCCTGGTTTAGGTATCGATGACTGAAATTATAAGGAGCTGTGACTTTTTAAAATGAAAAGGTGGCCACCAGTAGAAACATATTAACTTTATATTTAATACCATATGTTATACGACTTTTTCCCCTAATGCGAATTTTTGTATAATTTCAGTGAAAAATAGCGAGAAATAAAAGGTGTCAAAGTCATTTCCATTAGATAATTAGGGCATTTATATATCATTAAATCATACAGTATAAGTTTGAATTTTTTATTTATGGTCAAAACATTTTTTTGATTAAACATATTAACCAGTTAAGCAGTCATTTAATTTTAGAAATCAATATACTTAATAAAAAGGATCTTTAAGTAAATCAACCCTTTTCAATAAGTAAAAAGGTGAATCAAGAATGTTAATTCAGATCCTTAACTTAGCTATATGTGCTCTCAGATAAGGGCAGTGGTCAAATGCAGGAACATTTAAAGATATAAAAACAAGAAATCCATTTTAAAAATTGTTTTAAAAAAAGGAAATAAAGATGAAATGCTAAAATAAGAAAAATAGATCAACGGTCCATGGAATGTCAATATAGAAATTGTTTTTCAATGGTGAGTTATTATCCACAAACTCATTATTCTTGGGGATTAGTAAATGATAAAGGGCAGATGGCCAGAGATTTCTATAACAGGGAGTGCATCATGAAGACATTTTTTCCGAAAATAAAAATTTTATGTCAATAAAAAAAAAAAAAAGAATCACAATGGTTACATCAAAATGAAAAATGGTAATCCGAAATGGGTTGAAAGATTCCTTTTTTCAGGTTAAAAAACTTATATTATACTTTTTTAAAAAAAGTAAGAAAGAAAAGCATATATATAAACCAATTTAAGTTTTAAAAATCTAAAATAACAGTAAAAAAATTATCGGCGAAACGTCAAATTAAATCTTTTGAAATGTACAAGAAAACCTTTAACTTTTATAAACAGATGCACATATTTTCAATTTTTAGCCCTTTCTGTTAGACTCATAACTTCATACATTTCAATTTGAAAACAGAAACTCATTTTATAATTTCTTCTTTTTAAAATTAAAATGTACAATTTCAATGCTGCACCACGCTTTTCTCTCAAAAAAGAAAAAAATTAATTTGGGTGATTTAAATATTTTTCAATTTAACACCATTTGTTGGCAAACGTGTGGGCACATTAATAATTTTTTCATGGTACACTCCTTACTCTAAAATTGTTATATATACATGGTGAGTTTAAAATAACACACATCAAGCTTCAATAGTTTGTAATTTAATGAAAAGTATGCATAGTAGATAATGAAATTGTTTAAAGTGATTTTTGTAATTTAAAGTGATTGTTTAAAGCTTAATTAGCTCTCTGTGATAAATAACTTAAAAATTTCATTTAAGAAATGTCTGTTATCTTGCCAATGTTATTCTCAAGTCATTCAAAAGTTTCACTTTAAATGATGCAGAAGTACTCAATGCAAAATAAATGATGGCACTATTAGTTATCAGGTAAGAGCAGACAGGTCTTTTATTTTAGACAATGAAAAAACTTAGGAGTTTAAACAAAGTTTCTGTGTTTGTCTATCAAAAGCACAATAAAAACTATTAACATTTTTAACCATAAGTATATTTTTTGTACACCTAAATTTTGTTAAAACAATCACATATTGAAATTAACAAAATAAGATGCCGTTTTGAACCTTTGATGTAACACCTAAATTTTGTTTGAAAAAATTAAAAGTCAAAATCATAAATAAACTCTATACTACTTTAAATCTCAAACCGGTACTTTTATAGAACCTTAAACTTTGACGTTATGAACTCGTATACATAAATAAATCATTGAATTAATCTGACCAAATGCATATTTATACTAAATAAGTCTTTAATCTAAAGATATATATTTGTTTACATAATATTGCATAGGTAATTGATTTTATAAATATATGTACAGAAAATATTAACAGATTTAAGGCATTCATTTACTACTGCTCTCAGAAGTCGTCGGAAATCGATGTTCCACTATTCCATTACGCTGGTGTCCATATTCAAATATAAGTTTCATTTCCCCAACTTTAGAGACAGGCAAAATGTCTGGAATCCATTCAATAGTGAAAGGAGTAGGCTCTGTTTGGCTCAATGCAGTATGGCCTAGAAAAAAAAATATTAATGATACACTTTAGCATCAAGTATTACATCCCATAGAGAATTTCATTGTTTTATTATGAACATTTGAACAATTTTTAAAAAAAAATTCCATTTCATAGTGTTGTTCAAGTGATTATAAAAATTAAAGATGGCAAGAAATAACTTTTCTTCTGGTGAGAAATTCATTAGTATCAGTTAAAAATTATTTCGATTTTATTAAGAGTACATAATATTTTAGTAGAGAAATTGTAAGTGCAAGAAAAGAAAAGTTAAACACTGCAATAAAAACACAGAAAATATAACTGTTATGTACACTCAATGAAATGATCCATCATAAAAGCAAAATATACTTACTATAACAAAGATATATGGGATAAATCTTGGCAAACCATGATATACTTCAAAAAGAATGAGATACAATAGATAATAAGCCTACATGTCATTTATTTTATGTTACTACAACATGCGGGCAGAATGGCCTCTTTTCTAAGATTAAAGGATAGAGTTTTTATAAATTTGTTTTAAAGTAACACAACAGTAACTGAAACAATTAGTAAGAATACTGATAACTATTAAATATACTCCATTGACAAAGTTATGTAGTGAGTTGAGGCAAAAAGAGAGAACCCAAATTAAATAAAAATTTTACACAGAAAAATTAGCAAATCTGCCCTACAAAGTTTGAGGGTAAATTATTTCCTAGGTAACAAAATGCATGTTGTAACGGAGGACTGTTGGTTTAGTAAATTTGATTTAAAGTTATTTTGCCCACCATAGAGTAATAATAATTCAAAAGAAAACTTTAATAAAGTCAGTTTGCTATAAAAATTTCCATCTTAAGGGATTAAAAAAAAAGTTTCACAAAATAGAAATATCCAGTAAAACATTGTATTCTTATGCAAACAGAATTCAACAACATTCACTATTCAAATAAAAAAAAATTTACAAATTTTATACTTTCTAAAATTTAGAAAATATTAAAAAACTAATGATTTGCAATAAAAGAAATTAGGCTTAGATCAAAAATCAAAGTTCAGATACAAAAGAGAAGAACAAAGGAGAGTTATAACTTACTTTAAAATAAAAGTGAGTTATAACTTAGTTCAGAACAAAGGAGAGCTATAACTTACCAACTTTGAGAAAAGTTTTCAGTTCTACTGGATTTATATGTTTTGGTTTGGATTCTAAGAGCTTTCTCAAATATGCTGCTTCTGGATCCAATTTATCTTCTTGCAAAGGTACAAAAACACCATCTCGAACTTCTGTGAAACTTCTTTGTACTTCTAATGTAACCTACAAATCATCAATTATCATTATATCAGTATTTTATTTTAATAAATAATACAGTTAAGAATCTAAAATAAAAACAAACTGAAATCCAACTAATGTACTATTGAAAATATACATAATTACAGGTCCAAATATTGACGCAAAATAAAAGAAATTATTTAAATTTAATCACCACATATTTCATCACTGAAAGTTTTAATCAAATTAAACAACTTACTTCATTAATAAACAGTTAGGAGCTTAAGGCCAAAGGGTTCCAAAACCTATAACTCGTATGGACTACAATAAGTTCAACGACTTAGTCAGCAAAGGCATTACTTTAAAAATTTGAGAAAAACTGCTCATTTTAAAAGGTTTAAGGACTATCTGAAGCCTTGTTTGGGATATTTTAATCCTTTTGCCCCCTTCATAAGAGGGTCGTCATTTTCTCACTAACATTCTCATCATAATGTAATTTTAAAACATATAGAAATTTTAATTTCAAAACCAAGCATTGAATAAAATATTCATGGAACAATAATTTCACTTTTAATTATTGTAATTTTTTTTAAAGAATTTCATATGATTAATAGCAATTAAAATGTTCAATTTATTACTAACTGAGTTGTTCTTTATATACTTATACTGTAAATTTTAAAATACAGTAAAGAACCCGTTACCTGGAAATCAGAAAACCAAAAAACCGGAACGAAATTCGATAAATTTTCCCACCATTTAAAAAAAAAAAAAAAAATTTTTTTCCTCATAAGATTTTAGGATTTTTCTTTATTTTTAGAAAGGTGTTTACCTTACCATCATTTTGGAAATAATCATTAGTGTATTACTTCATTGTTTTTTCTTCTTTTTAAGATTANCAAACATTTTTTTTTTTCCAGTTGGGTTTAACAATAAAAAAAACGGCTTTTTGTAGCAATTCAGAAAACCGGAAAAATCAGTTATCCGGAATAGCGATGGTCCCGATCGTTCCGGATAATCGGTTCCCTACTGTATAATCAAAATAAATTGAAAATTCCAGTTGTCCTGCCTTAGAATATTAAAATTAATGACATGATTTAAGTATAGTAAATGTAACTTACTAATTACAAGTCAGAATTTTTGTAATGATATTATTTTTGTTATGATGATTAGAGAATATTTCTTCCCACAGTAAATTTATGATTATTAATGTAATTGCTTGGCATCATAACCAGAAAACAGCAAAACCTATAGGTAAGAGGTAGAAATAAATTTCTTCACATGTTTTACCTTATTGAAACATCTTTGCAACAGGTATTTTTAAACATTATTCAAAAAAATAAAAAAATTTAATTAGACTAAAATATAAAAACAAAAAGGGAAGACATATTCTCTTATGAATCAATTACAGTAGAGAACCAATTATCCGGGATGCTCGGGACCATCGCTATCCCGGATATCTGAATTTCCCGGTTTTCTGGATCGACCAAAAAGTATCGTTAATCAATGTTTTATCGAACCCGAAGTACAAGGAAAAAGTGTAATGCATAAAGTAAGAGAAAAAAGAAAGGTACTCCTAACTTTAAAAAAGAAAAAAAAATGGTAGAAATATAACATTTAAAAGAATAAAAAAATTTGCAAGTTTAGACAAGAAAAACAAGTTTAAAAAATAATTACGATTCCTAAATCAACTAATAAACAAAACCAATGATTAAATAACGCAATATATTTCATACCTAATTATACGGGGGGAAACGATAAAATAAAAGGAAAACTTATTAATCTAAATAAAAACACTTGAAAATTATCGAACCGAAACGATAGTTAAAAAACGGCACTAGCATAAATATTAAAACCTGAAACAAGGCAAGATCAATGGAATTTATAAATAAAAAAAAAAAAAAAAAACCTAATGATAAAATTTATGAATAAAAAGAATTAATTTATTGAGTGCGAAATTTATCGCGAAAAGAAAAAAAATCAAACGTAGTGGAATCAGAAAAACAAAACTGCAATCTGCTTCATAAAATAATCCTATATTTAAATTAATAAACAATTCTCCTTTTATTTTATTTTTGTTGTTGATAAAAACAAGATTTTTAATTACAGCAGATATGATTCCACACCAAGAAAAACTTGCAATTGATACCGCACTGCCAAAGAATGAGAATTTATTCAAAAGAAAGAGATTTTATTTTTATTAGTCGATGTCAAATAAATATATTTTTCTGTTCACGATATGCATGCAATGCATTTTCCCCATCCCACCCCCTCGTAAATCAAGCAGAAAACGAAATCAGCATGCCACACCCTTGAGTTTGATTGACGGCCTAAAGGAAAAAATAAAACATTCCTCCCTTCCCTGCCTTCAAGGTCATGGAGGAAATGACGTTTCTCTGGATAAACGGGGAAATTTTTTTTCCCCTTCCTTACATTTTCCTCTACTCAACTTCAAGGATGAGTCCGATTTCCGCTTTTTTCGTTCTAGTTTAAAATGGCGGAAAAAATCGAGCAAAATTTTTCCCGGTTTTCTGGTTTCCCGGTTATCTGGATACCGGATAAATGGTTCTCTACTGTATTATACTACTGGTACTTAAAGAAGTTTCAATGTGACACATTAAACAGTTAATGTTTTCTATGGATAATTTTATTATAGAATCAAACTGGGAATAATACAACGACAGATAGAAAGGAACTTAAATATGATAGTTAATAACTGTAACTATACACTGTACAACAGTAACTGCAGGAACTCAAATATAATTAGTAATTACATTTATATCACAAACTATTTGAATTAACCCTCAATTACATGGATTACAACTGTTCTGTTTTCAGCAAAATATTTTAAAAGTTTCATGATGGTGCAACTGGAATAAAGTGGCATTCCATAAGCATGTTTAAATTATTTATATGTGTCATGGTAATACAAAACAATTTAAATCAAATTTACTAAATCAGGAATCAAATGTGAAAACCTAACATTTTCTACCATTAGAAGCGGAGCAAATTGGTATTTTTGCAATTAAATCAAAACCAATTCTAAGTTCTAAGCTAAATCAAAGAACACTTTAATATTATAACTGGATCAATAGTTTGAAGATAATAGAAAAAAAATCAGAAACATTGGTTGAAAACTCCAAGTCTTGCAAAAACTTATTAATTTGGATGATGGAAACTTGGAGACATTTGCACTGAATCTTGCTTTTTGATCTGTTAGTTTTCTTTCACAGCAGCCACCAAAAACGCTTTAATTCAGAAAAATAAAGTCGCATATACAACTAGCTAAAGCCTCAAACTTAAGTTCTTTATCTTATGCCATGGTTAAACTACAAAGAAGGAATAGCAAATTGTAAAGTGTACCATATTTTACCAATTGTAGCTGATACCTCAGTAAAAGTTATACAGTGCTTTTTTTCATTCTGTTCAAGTTAAAATTTTTTAAAAAAACATGGAAAAATAATCATGCAATCGTAGACACAAAATGTGTAAGTGCCAACATTGCACACACAAAACACCAATGACGTACAAAATAATTAGTAAAATGTGTGTTAAAAATTAATGATTTTAAGTATGATGCACATATTTCACATATTAAGTATGATGATTTTGGCTCACGTCTTTATCCAAAAGCATGAAGATAGAGTACGACTGGAACGACAGCACTAATTGCAAGGACAGTACAAGGTTCAAATTGGAGGCTGGCATATTTGCATGCAACCCAAAACTCAGACACTCATAATGATGCAACCATTACTTTAATGATAAATGCCACACAGGGAAAATGTAATATGACAAACATCAAAAGGTTAACACATAAATGAAACATGATAATATGAAGATGATAAAAAAAATCAGCCGTTAGAAAACATTTTATAACAAGCAATAGCACTAAAGTACAAGTGACAGATCTATTTAAAGCCTCACATAATTTAAATAACGCTAATGCCAACATGCCGTAACAAATGTAGACTATTAGAATTTCATTTGTATAAAAAATATATGCAAATTTTAAACCACAATGTAAACTGGCATGAAACAACATTTGATAACCCTGGTCCCTAATGGCAGACCATACGTTCATCACAAATAAGTGTAAATGAAAACCCCAAAAGTAAACAAAATGTAGGGATTTTGATTAGTAATGTCTATGGATATGCACAATTAGCGTCATTAAGCCATGATGGCTCAGGGGATATAGCATTCACTTCGAACGATGTAAACGGGGTCGAATCTCAAAGATGGCTGATCGATATGAATTCTGCATCCGGTTAGCACCGACCGTAGTGCTGACGTAAAATATTCTCTGTGGTAGACAAATCATGGGTTAGAGTCCCCTTGCCGTTAGGCGAACCAAGGGAGATTTCCGGGGTTTCCCTCTCTATGTAACGCAAATGCGGGCTAGTTCCATAAAAAAAAACCCACAAAAGCAAAATTTTTCTGGATTGGTTTCAAAATTACAAGGCTACGGAGTTGAACATTAGTAATCGTAAACCTAAAAATTGGGTCAGCTGTTCAGGGATGGTTAAAAAATAAAATAAGATTGGCGTCCTTGATGGATGAAACATTACATGCATTACAATATTTGAAAGTACTGTTCAACACATCATTTTACATAACTAAAAATAACAAACCATTTACTGACTTAATATTTTTCATAGATTGCTTCGCGTACTTAACTCAATTATTCTAGTCCACTTGTTCTGGCCAGTCTTAAGCAAAAGGTTAAAGATCTGGTGGAGTTCTTAGCAAAATACTATACTTCTAACTGCTTTATTTATTTATTCATTTAGCTAGCATCAAATTAGAAACATTAATTCACTAATGTCACTGTGCAATTTTGTAATGCAAATAACAGTTATGCCTTTTCTATTTAACATACCTGCCAACATTGAAGAAGTAAAATAACAGAGATTTTACTAGCAACATTTTTTAGGCTATACGTAAAGTTTTGAAACATCATGCTAGTCATGTAAGTCAAAAAGAGAAGTTCAAAATTGGAAAAAATATAAGCATTTACAGTTAGCAAAGTAAAAAATATGTATATAAATTTTAATCTCTAAATAAGATATTTTTAAGCCCTTCTTTATAATTACTTAAAATATAAACACTCAACATACTGCAGTACTGGCAATAGCACCATCTGTTGAGGAATAAGAGAAGTATTTTTGACATCAGCAATTATTTTATCGGCAAAAAAGAAGCTTTTTTAAAAAAATTTCTTCGAGAAATACGGAGAAATTTGAGAATATACAGGTGAACAGAAGAGGTCGTAAAATACAAGAGTCGTCCTTAAAAAACAGGAGACTTTGCAGTTTGATTTAATAATATCCTGACTCCTAAAAATTTTGAATTTCTGGAGAACCCCCTGACCTTGCTCATTTACTATTTCAAAAAATAAATGAATAAACATTTATTCCCTATTTAAACTAGAAAGCTTCACAAATTTAACAAAATGGTAGGTCATGTAGTATACTATAACTTAAAAGTCAATACTTACATCTGGAGTATAAAAAACACGTTTCAACTGGATAATATTTGTAATTTTCCAGATATACTTGGAAAATATCCCAATTGGTAAGGCATCTTTTCTATTGTATCCAACAACTGAATTAGGAAGCCGTTTCTTTTTGGAGCCTTCAGATAAACGCTGTTGGATGATGTTGAAGAAAGACTGTGGAACTTGGAAGACTAAAGGTTCTGGCTGACCTAAAATTTTTTTTAAAAAAAAGTTAAAAAGAAACCAACAAGTGAAATTTTGGAGGAAAAAAGATGTTAAAACTTAAAGCACGAAATAAATTATGCTGTTGTAGGACTGATGTCGTTAATTAAATGGCAAAATCAATAAACAAGCAAATATACATTTTGTAATTTTGAGCTTTCAAACTGCACAAGTACAATTTATTTCATTTAATTTTTGTATCATGTACTAGATTAGTTCAATTACAATGGGAATTGATGAAAGTTTGATAGTATTTTTTTATTAAATAGTTTATTACTTGCATAAAATACACAGCAAATTAAATTACATCATTGCATGAATTGCAGTAAAGTTTGTGCAGTTCTAAGAGATATGTTTTATCAAAAAACATCACAAATCCAATATTTATCAGCAACTTATAACATTGGTTGTATATTTAGCTCATTTTGTGAAAATGAATTATTTCTCAATTTTGAATAAATTGTTTCCATTCCTGGCATAGGTTTCTATTAGTGTATACATCATAAATTATAATTCTTTCAATTTTTTACGGATACCGAAATATACTGAAATCTTGAAAAGACATGAATTAAAAGCCAATTTTTCAATTCCCTGTGTTTTCAGGGCCTTCCCTGTGGCGTGGCAACCATAAAAGAGATAGATCAGAAATGGAAGATGACAAAAGAATTTCAGCAAAATATAAATTCTAATGAAATAGCAAAGATAGTGAAATCATTTGAAGTTTCTGTTCATTAAGGTAGATACTAGGTAAACAACTTTTGAAATACCAAGACAGGTATTATTTTGACTAAAATAATAAAGATATTGTTGTTGTTTTTATATCAAGAAATTTTTCGTATCTTCCTTCCAGCCTTTGATATCAAGATTCGACTGTACACAACACAGATAATAAATCACTTTGAAACAATTTCAAGGCAATAATATATAAAATTGAGTACATACTAACCATTAAACTGATAATGCATAGTTTGGTTAATTCGTTCAACAACACTGTTTAGCCATGAGTCAAAGCTAAGTACAGGTTTATCTTCAATTGAATTCAAAACTAAAAAGATATGGCACAGAAAGCTGAAGTTAATTAAAGTAGATAAAGAAGTAAAATAAACTAAACATGAGATTTTTAAAAATTTGATTTAACACATGAAGCACTAATAAACTTAATTAAAAGTATAAACATATTACTACATTACATAAGGTAATAATAATTGGTAATAATAACATGATGAAAATTTTTTTTCTTCTTATTTTTGTAACTATCAGGATATTTTAACAACTCAGGATAAATATATCTAGATTCTTTGATTTTGAAGTGGAATCTGTATACTAGGGAAATTACGACTTCTTTACATCGAAAATGATAGCAGTTTTAGTTTTTTCTAGGTGCCTACAAATCCTGTTAGTTCAATATATAGCTATATATATTCCAACCTAATAAAAAAAACCTAATACAAGAAATATTATAAATATCGTTAGAATGATTTTTAATAAGCTTTGAAAATATATCAAAATTAGAAGATTCCAAAGTGCAGAAGCATTATCAAAAAAGATGTCAAAAAGTATAAATCTTTTGCTTGGAGAATTTTTAAAAAATCCAAAACAGGTTAAAAACAAAATTAATTTGTGGATTTATTTTAAAATTAAAGTAATTTAATGCAAGATAAAAAAAAAATTTTAAAATTTCATTGTTGCCACGAAAACCAAATTTTTTTTCTAAGTTTCCCCTTTGGAAAAAGATTGTGTACCCTTACCCTAATTCATCTGTTAATTTATTTATTTTATCAAAACAAAAAAAACCAAGAAAAATATTAAAATTTTATGATAAATATTTAATATTTTTCCTGTTGTTGTTGCCGTGTCTATGCATACAGTGCTAGTGCAAAGATTAGAGTCCTCCAAAAGTCTTGATAACAAGATTTGCAAAAGTTCTGGAGCCCGATGGCCGTAGAGAATTTCGATGGGGGGTTCGAGAAGGAGCCGATAATGGCCTGGCATTCAAAAACATGGTCTGGAGTTAGTTGCAAATGAGNTTATCAAAAAAGATGTCAAAAAGTATAAATCTTTTGCTCGGAGAATTTTTAAAAAATCCAAAACAGGTTAAAAACAAAATTAATTTGCGGATTTATTTTAAAATTAAAGTAATTTAATGCAAGATAAAAAAAAAATTTAAAATTTCATTGTTGCCACCAAAACCAAATTTTATTTCTAAGTTTCCCCCTACCCTAATTCATCTGTTAATTTATTTATTTTATCAAAAAAAAAAAACCAAGAAAAATATTAAAATTTTATGATAAATATCTAATATTTTTCCTGTTGTTGTTGCCGTGTCTATGCATACAGTGCTAGTGCAAAGATTAGAGTCCTCCAAAAGTCTTGATAACAAGATTTGCAAAAGTTCTGGAGCCCGATGGCTGCGGAGAATTTCGATGGGGGGTTCGAGAAGGAGCCGATAATGGCCCGGCAGTCAAAAACATGGTTTGGAGTTAGTTGCAAATGAGGACAGTACTTGCAGATGTGATAGGATTTTATGTTGATGATGTGTGAGATGCCTTTGAAATGTCTAGTACGTAGCCTGGCTATTGTATTTTTCCTCTTTATGAAATGAATTGTTAAAAATATATATTTGAATATGCAGAAATATTATAAAATAAGTCATAAATTTATACTTACTGTTTTTTGTAGATACATACACTCTTTTCTGTTCCTTTTCAGTCCCGTTTTCTTGCAACAAATATATATCTGAATCTAAAATATGAATCGAATACAAATTTAATGCACAAGCAAATAACAAATGAATGATTGACATACTGAATTTTTTAAAATTTTAAATGCAAAATTCTAAATAATAACACCACTAAATGTCATAGTTGTTCAGCCTTTAAATAGCAAATAATTTATTTTAGAAATAATTTAAATTTCTTTTCAAGTTAATTATTTATAATTCCTTTATGGACTTAATTTATTCAACAAATAAAGCATTCATACCCTGAAAAAAAAATTGATAATTTAATAAAAAGATAGGTTTTATAGCAATTTATACAACATAAATTTTTCAGTAACACTTGAACTATTAGTTTTGTAGTCAATTAATATATATACAAAAAGACAATGTTCCTTTAAAAAAAAAAATTATAATATAGTACGAATTTAAACTGGATATTCTAAACCTTTAGGAACAAAAAACAAAATTTTTTAAGTGAACTCTTGATTTTAATTGTTTGGTTGATACAAAATAAAAGAAATTTATGTTCAACTCTCTGAGCCTTAGTCCCGAAACTTTTTGAACTAGTAGAATTTTCTAGTATAGTTTTCTCTATAGAATCTAATATGAAAGTAGTGCATAGCTGAGAAATATGGGTTCAAATTAGCCTAGAAGCACTTAGAGGATAAAAATTACTTTTCTCATAAGAAATGTTAATGTACTGAAATACCTAATAGCTGATTATCATTGTAATAAACCTATTATAGTGCAAAAGTTTTATGTCCAATTAGTTTTGTTAATTAATTAAAAAATATAAATTACTATATTTTTCAGAAAAAGAAATTAATTTAATGTTTCCAAGTCAACTTTACAAGAACAGTTGCAATACAAATTGGTCAACAATAAANAAAAAAATCAAAACAATGAAAAAAAAAAAAAAAAACATTAAGGGGCTGAGACATGTTGAGTTACAACAAAAATCAAGCATTTCCCTTGACTGTGCATGTTTGATTCATTATGCATGCACATAACTCAANAAAATATAAATTACTATATTTTTCAGAAAAAGAAATTAATTTAATGTTTCCAAGTCAACTTTACAAGAACAGTTGCAATACAAATTGGTCAACAATAAACTATACAATGCAAAAAAAAAACATTAAGGGGCTGAGACTTGTTGAGTTACAACAAAAATCAAGCATTTCACTTGACTGTGCATGTTTGATTCATTATGCATGCACATAACTCAAACAAAGGATAAAAAAAAACCCATAACACTTTTGAGATGGAGATATCAAGATAGATATGTAGAGTATGTTCAATAATTTACCGTGTACTTTTTTTATAGAAACACTGCAAAATTACCTAATCTTTTCTAAATTTTTTTTATTAATAATACTGTTAAGTGGAACCATGATAATTCTATAAATAAAGCTAGATAAATCAGTATCTCACATATTTTACATAAGATAATGAATCACAAAGAAAATTAAAAAAGAAAACATACTTAGTGTTAATTGTTTTTTCTTTTTGGAAGGTGGTGCAATTTCATCAACAAAAAAGTCTTTTAACTCGGAAAATTCCTCAGATAAAGAACACTTTAAAACTTCTTCAACTGTGACATCTGAAAAAAATAATAAATAAACAATACTAATATGAAGAAATTACAAAACTAACATTTTTGTATATGTTACTGTAAAAGCCTGAAGTCTGGTCAATTCTAAGTTCAATCAGTATAACCAAGGATTTACCAAAGTGACGTGGTAAAAGTAAGCAGTAAGCGTTTTTAGGATTCCATTTTAGACTTTCACCAAGCCTTTGCGGTAAAACCAAGAATTTATGACTTCGGGCTTTTACAGTAACATTAACTAACCATCACCAGGAAATAGAAAGAATTAGTTATAAAATTATTTTAATCTTAACTTGTTTTGGAGATGTGTAAAAAACTTATGACTACCATGAAATCAGTATCATTAATAGTTAGTATAAATTCAATACACTGTTTCTTGTCTGGAAAAAACATTTTAATCCTCCTGAAAACAAGCTAGAAAAGAAATGATTTTATTATAAATTTTTCCTCATTTCCAGGTATGGCTCTCTGACAGATTTTCTCATGACAATAAGTCAATTAAACAGAAAATCAAAAAGAAATCAAATACAGCAAATCAAATAGCCAATAATACAGTAAATCAAATTGTATAGAAATATAAACTAAAATAAAATACAGCCTTTTTTTAAATTTAACTAGATTGAATAAATATTTATATCACACAAAGAAAAAGTTAAAAAGAGAACTTGTAAGGATCAAAGCAATTAAACATGATTTAGATTAATCAGAAAGAAGACTTGAACTCATGTATAGCATATGGTTTCTTTAATTCAAAAGAGTCGTAGAAAATATTAAGGAAGTTTGTGTAAAATATATTCATGTAAGTCATGTCTTCAGAAATACAGAGCATTAAGTAATCATTGCTTTTGATGTATATTTTCAGAATCCTAGTAAAACATGAAGCAAAAAAGTATGCACAATTGAGGTTACAAATCAATATTTAAGTTTGAAAAAAAGAAAAACGACAACAAAATCTGTTGAATTACTATTGAACAAGGAGAGATTAAAAAGTATCAAAACATATTTGATTGTCTGATAAAATGGAATTATTAAAATCACCTTCCGATTTTATCTAATGGTTTTTATGGCCCACCATTTTAAATAATGATTAGTAAAATTCTTTTTCCATCACATAAACATTATTTTGCAGCTCCTAATAAGCATATGTTCTCAAATTATTTTCAGCAAAGATTCTAAAAAAATATATAAAAGTAGTAGTTACAGAACACCCTGTGTAGCTTTTACCTAAGTAACAATAATGTATGACATACAACAGTTTGACATTTTATTCTTTAGAATGTTCTTAGGAACAATATATAAGATTACATTAAAAACTCTAACTCTAAATTATCTTCAAAAACACATTTAAATCAAAAATCTTCTCAATATTAATTGTAGTATAATTTATAGAAAAATATAATAATTAATAGAATTTATAATTAAAATATATAATATAACAAAAAAAAATTATAATAAAAAATTACCACTTGGAGTCTTTAAGTTGAACACCATATTAAACAAATTTTTGAACTCATCAGAAAGTTTTTCATCACTTGCAAAGGCACATACACACATGTAATAGTGAACACATAATTGTTTCTCTCGAGGTACAAACGGCTTTGTAACCTGAAACACTGTTACATTAGTTACAAATATAATATGTTACATTATAAATAATCAGAAAAGGACAAAAAATACAGGTTATTCAAAATTGGAATAAAAACTATTAAGTGAGCTTTAAGATGTGATTGAGTAAAACTGCTTATACATTAAAGAAAAATTGTGCCAGAAAAAAGTAACATTAAAAAATTCGGTCATCAAAACCTTATTTCAATTCCATAACTGGAACCAAGCTTAGATAAAATAAAAAATAAAAAACTATTTCTCCTGCTCTTAACTTTGGTACATCATTTTAAAGGAACAAGTCAACTTTTTGATCCTCTCAGTAAAAGATATCTTTTTCCAAATTCTTAGAGTGATCTTACACGTTAAAAAAATCTGTGGTGGTTTGCATTCATAAAGAAAGGTCCAAAATTTTTAGGTACATTGAAATGAGTTAAAATAATTTTATGAATACAAATGACATCATTTCTAAAAGTTCTCGAATTCATGAAAATTTGATTGATGCTCTGCTTGATCTGAAAAATGAACTAGATGCAAAATTTTCCAGAAAACGATAAAGAGAGATACATTGTGAACATAAAGTTAACATCATAACTTTTGGAAATATTTTAAGATTATTTCCCTAATAAAGGGAAAAAACTTTGTTTTGAGAAACTATGTAGCGATTTCTACAAACACTAACCACTTGATGAATTTCTAGTTTTCAAATTTTTATAAAAATTTTTTAAGATATGTTTTTTATCTGCCTTGGGGCTATTTTAACATTAAGTTAACTATAGGTGCCTTGCAGTTAACAGATGCAAATTTTATAATCTTTCTATAATAAAACACATTTTATTAAAATGCATCTGTAACTAAAATATCTTTTTACCAATTGTAAAAAATAATTTGGGAAAAATCAAGAGTGAAAAATAGTTTAGAAAAACTTAAACAGTAAAACAAAATACCATACATCTGATTATTTTGCTTGTGATATGATTATGAGACAAAGATCTTTTATTTATTTATGAAAATTTAACCAATCAACCTATATGGTGTAATACACAGATAAGTAGCCAACATGATAACAGAGGATTTCACTTTTATAATAGGAATTCCCTTTTTAACTTAAGATCAGTTTCTACTTAACTTTTAGTGATTCAGGGAAGGCCTTGACTGACATGAGCGGTCATGTTTGTTAGTGCCCCTTTAATATTAAATCTTTTCATGCTATTGTTGTGTGTAACTTAATAATAAAATTAATTAATATGTTACACAAATCTGCGGAAATTATTTTAGACTAAAACTAACACAACCCGAGAATAAAAATGAGCTTTACACTTGTTCTAAAATATGATGCATGCTTAGACAAAAAAAAAAAAAAAAAGAGAGAGAGAGAGAGACTTAAATAAAACTTTCTCCCCACAAATCATTTGGCATTAATAATTCTAACTGTATATAATGTTATATTCAGTCCAATACAATAGTTTGCAGTAGTGTACAATAGTTTGGACTGTAATACACATTTTTATAAGAGATAATTCATTTAAAAAAATTTCCAAAGTGAAAAATATTACTTCAAATGTATATAAATTTTCACTTTAATCAACATTAAATCTTAATTTAAATTTTTATTAAAAGACACAAAACCAGAAAGTAAATTTTATGTGACTACTTTTAATATAAACAAAAATACATTTAAGAGTTTTGAAAAAATAACTTTAAATGTAAGTCAAATACTTAAAACTTAACCTTTGATAAAATACATTTTAAAGCTTCAATTAAACATGAAGTATTTAAAAAATATTGTAAAGAATAAATTTAAAAAAAATCAATGTGATTAACTTTTCTAAAAAAATAATAAGCTCACAATTTAAGGGAGGGGGAAAACATTAAGATTAAGCGTTTTAGTAAATCATTTAAATGCTAAATTTTTACTATTGATTTAAGCATTAAGTATTAACACTGAAAAAAAAAAAATTTGGAACAAAATTTGTTTTAATTTTGGCACTTTGACAAATTCTTATTCTCTATTCCTAGATTAAATGAAACATTTTAAAAAGAAAATTTATAGCATAACTTGAATAAGTGATAATATAAGGTTTGAAGAACAATTACCCCAGCTTTGCATTCACAAAGTATTTTATATTTCCTGGCATTTTTTACTGGCTCGTAAAGGAAGAAATGTAGGAATCCCAGAGGATGTGATTCATCAGGTACACACTTCACAACCATTGTATGTTTGTTTATCCTCTGAACCAAATGTGTCTCCTCTTCAGGTTTAGTTATTAAGGAACAAATTTCCTGCTTCATAGCATCCGAAATTGGAAGAACATTCAAAATTGCCTCTTTTAAAATCAAAGGCTTTGCTTCCACCGTACAATTAACAACAGGCAAGGTATGGTTACATGGATTCATATTAAGAGTTATGGTGTTCGTGTCCTCGGTCGGTTTCCGACAGTTCGCAGCAAAACATACAGCAGCACTTCTGGTGATGATGCTGACTTCCTGTTCATCTTGCAATGTTTCCATTCCTTCAATAAGTGGAAGGCGGATAAAGCATCGACTGTCATCTTCAGCTTCCTGTATTTTCACAGAAAATATTTGCAAGCCAAATATATTGCACGAATTTATTTTGACAGCCTCAGCTGCATCCGAATGTTTGGTTTTTAAAACCTTAAATTTCATAGAGCAATCTTTATTCTTGCATGCCAGCCCTCTTGTGCCATTGTAGGTGCCACACTTAGGACATTTTCTAACACCTCTCAGAGTTGGCTTTCCCAAATTTTCAAAGAGACTTTTGGGCTTTTTTTCTGTCATATTAGAAGCCTAAAATATAAAATGAAATGGTTACATTAAATGTAAAGATTTAGAAACATTGAATACTTCATAAGCATAGTTTCAGCTCGTTTTTCACTTCAGTCCACTTAACTCATTAGTTCTATACATGCATTTTAACTAATTTTATCGAAATTAATTTTCTCACATTAATTATTTCAAGCCTCGTAGTGGGCCAAAGAAAAAAAGTAAGGACATTTTTAGAACAGCATGCATACACCAAATTACTTTTTAAAAAGGCAAATGACACACTAAAAAGAGTATGATTTGCTTTTCTAAAGTATTATTAAGAGGTAAATTTTATCACATAATTATAAAAGAATGCACTATTTTTTTAATTTCAGAATTACTTTGTTTAGAACTGAAAATGTTTACAGTTTCTGGTAAATTTTTATTAATGTAATAATGTTTAACTCCTAACAGCTTGGATCAATGCATGGTAAATTTTCAAAGCAAGATTGCATTAAAAAAATATCCAATATCAGTTACCTTTTTCAAAACCTAATTAATTAAATAATTTTAAACTCATGTTTCAACAATCTCTAAAAGAAAACACAGTGAATAAGCTGCTTATTAGTATTATTTACTAAGTTAATTTACTGAATAGTCTAGAAAATCACCATTTAATAATTCAATGGATATGATTATTGTATTACAGATCAGAATAGATTATTTTTAAAGTAAATCTGTGCAAAATAACAAATCTACACCCCATAAGATATGCTATTGCTTTAGTTGAAAATAATAAATAAGCATAATATCTCTGAATACCTTATTAAATCATAAAAATTATCACTCATAGGTAAACCAATCAAATCAATAATCAATCGAAACTAATCATAAAAACTGGATAACATAATTAATGATTGAGTTACTTTTTTACAAAATAAAAGATTTTTAAAAATAGAGAACTCTACAGGTAAGCCTATACATTGCCTACAAAAAAGGAAGAGGTACTCAGTTTTTCAAATTTCTCAAAATATTCTAAGAGGATTATTTTGTTACATTACTATAGATGTAATTAGTTCATGCGATTTTTCATACTCAGCAATAAGGTTTAAAACTCTCAGAGGTTTTAGGGAATGACAATAAATTACGAAACAAAACAAGTATTTTTGAACACCCAATGCCAGGAAATGAAGCAATAAGCTTGTAGTTTATGTTGATTACTTCGGCTGTTATTTTCAATAACTGCATTAAATTTCATAAATCTAGCTTGAATATTTATGAATAGACATTTTTATTAAAAACTAATATTTTTGTATTACGTTATTTTGCTATAACTTTATAAATATTCAATGGAATCAAACATAATTTCTCGAGCAACTTAAAATTCATTATTTATTATTAATAATTAAAATTATTCAAAATTATTTATTTAAAATTAAATAAAAAAAATTGTTAAAAACTGTGCAAGATATGAGCATTTAAAGTAGTTCTTTTATACTGTGCATGAGCTGAAAAATTTTTAAAAAAAAAAATCCTTTTTATAATATTGTAATGCAGTGTTTCCCAAAGTGTGGTATGTGTACCCCCAGGGGTACAGGAGCAGTTTAGCAGGGGTACGCATTCTTATGCGAAATATCTTGCAAGAAACGAAAATTTCAAAAATTTTTATTTAAAAACAAAGCTAGCCATGAAAATCAGAAATATTAGGAAAACCAACAAACTCTTATTTTCAAATAATTTTTATTTTAAATACTATCATTGTCAACATGTTTTAAGAATTCAAGGACAAACTTAAATCTACAACCTAAAATAGCCTAAAGTACATTCAAGTTTCATTAAAAACTAATTGATATTTCAAAAAAACATAAAATTTTATTTTGAAATTTAGTTTGTAAAAAAAAATATTTGTGGAAATAATTTATGTGTTAAATAAAGTTCCTTTTCCATTAAATGAATTATTAAATATTTGCACAGTTGATATATTTGAAGGAAATGCTATACAATTTCAAAAGTTTCTGTATACTGGATTTTTCTACGTTTAATATGTACACTTTTGACCAATTGTGACGAATTAAGAGTTTTTTACTGGTTTTTCCATTTACTTTTCCACTAATCTTCAGATTTCACTAATTCAGCTTTTCCTAGATACCACAAAGGCTTGATTTTGTCAAGGAAAATCTGATCAGTTGATTTTATTTACATCCAACTGGATAATTTTATTGATATCTGATTATCTTTTAAATTAGAAAGAATTTTCAATATTTATTCTTACATACAAAATTACTTACGTAACAAGCTACAGCCTTTTAGCTCCATTTTTACTAAACAAGAATACCTATAAAATAAAAATTCTAAGAATTAGGTAGATTGTTACAATTCAAACTTAAAGAAGAAAAAAAAAGGAAAAAAAAAACAGGTAAAAAATGTAACAAATTTTAGAAGTTCTGATAGGGAAAAAAATGCATAATGTAATTCAATGCCAAATTTTGAGTTACATTACATTTTTCTATTGTCAAATAACTTTTGAAAAAAAAAAGAATAATTATTTACATCTTAGTTTTTATTTCTTTTAAGTATAGTTTTGTACTAGTAATATACTTTAAAATCAAGAATACTTAAACGGCCAGGATAGCCTGCTTGGCTGGATGCTGGACTCACATTTTTGAAAACAGGAGTCTGAATCCAGATCACCGAAGACAATCGTGCAAGTTAAATCTGTCAGGTCACATAGTTCTCCATGTTCCCATAACAAATAAATACCGCTACGGGTACTGAATTGGAGATTGATCACTCTCTAGTTCAAAATTATGATCCGCGGATGAATTAATGTATGAATGGCTCTGTCCTATAAATGGGTGTGCCAGAAGTCGAATTCTTGGCCATAGGTGGCGCCACTGGAAAAAAGAACGATACCAACCCTTCTACCTTAATGGATGACAACAACGACAATACTTAACTTTTTTTTTAATTATTTAACTACCAAAACACCTTGATCACACTCTATTAAAATATTGTTTAAACTTTTGCCAATGGCGCCTAATGGCACTAGCTATTCTGGACTATCAGATTCACCAGACACAAGCAAAGAGTAAAAGTGTGTAGCATAAAGTGACACTTAGATTAGAAATGGGGAGATTTCCGTATCGTGATCTGTGGCAGAATAATCACCAAGTCTTGGAAACTTCCGGGCAGTGGAAAAAAAACATCACAGAAAGGAATCAACTCGAAAGGTATAACTCGCAGACACCTCCGGGCAAACAGCCACATGTTTTTTTTTTTAAAAAAAAAATTGCAAGTTATCTATTTGGCACCTTGGCGATTGTAGTTGGCGCGACAGATCACGATATGAAAATATCCCCTTAGAAATTGTCACTAGGAACTTTTAGTTTAGTATACATGAAATTTACCATTTTCTTGTTATTTTTATCACGATTTCTGATTATTAGAAAATCTCCCTTTTAAGTAATTTCTTTCCCTGTTTTCTGCAAAACGCATAAAAAATTGCAGAAATAAGAAAGGCACTCTATTGTGAACAATTATCAAAACGCTAAATGTAAATTAAAAGAATTAAAAAAAACATATATATGAAAAATTTTATTTCTGGTACATTAAAAAAATTTAACTTTAAAACATTTTTTAAAAAAATCTAATAGAAAATCTAATGATTTTTAAAACTAGCCGTTTTATAAAATTATATATCATTGGGATGGATGTGAATTTAATAAGCAGGAGACATACTTTAAAGTTTAAAAAGGAGCTAATTGTTTTTAGAAAAATTTATTGGTATTAAGCTAGGATTTCTCTAAATAATAACTACATAATACTATGCTCTTTAACATATAATCAAGTGAAAAAAGTTTTTATTTATTTTGCATAGAACGTACAAATAAATTCTGCTCATAATATTTATTGAAATATTTTTAATAATCTCGCCTGTAACACGTTTGAAATTTGTTTACGTTTACTTTTATCTTTCAAATTGTCATACTTCACGAGCTAAATTTTTTTAATTTCATAATTTCATTCCATTTAAGTTAGGCAAACTGCAAATTCAAAATTCCTTATCTTGTGTCAAAATGCAAATAAAATGTAAAATAACTGCTTGTATTGTATCTACTTTTATTTCACAAACAATTAAATGCAGAAGTATAAAGCACAATAAATCATCAAAAAAAAAATAGACAATCAGAGTTACTGCAAAAACAACCAAAAATTGGTACATAATGTATTGAACATTAGACAAACTTACAATAAAACAACACAGTAATATGTTTACCTTTGAGTGTAACAGCGTTAAAATCACGTAAGAAAAGCGAACTCATAATCAGTGTTTAATGAAAATCTGATAGAATATCATAGATTTTTATCATATTATCTTCACATCAAACAAATGACAGAATCAATTTTATTTATAATATAAAATTTTTGTTTTCGTGTAATCTAACCAACACCGCAATAATTTTTGTTTATTTATTTGATTGTTTAATTCAGCAGGATTCAGATGAATGGACTGTGTGGAGTACGTACTCAAATTATGTGGTTGGCTTTTAGCTCTTTAAGAATAAATAGGTAAATGGTCAACCCAAGTGAAAAAAGGACTCTCACTTTAAACTTTATTTACTTAATTTAAGTGTAGTTTACGTAACGTTAAGTTTCATCTTTCAAAATACACGTTGTGAAATTTTTAATTCATAAATAAATGTCCCGCAGTGGACTGATCATTAAGACACGGTTCCCAGCAGATCACCGAAATCAAGCATCACTGGCTACAGTCAGAGTGCGGGTGGGTGACCCACTTGGATCGGTCTGCGTAGGAACCGAGGGTGTGTGGTATTGGTCCTCGTTAAACTGTGCTACCGTAAAGTGCCAACACCTCCTAGAAGTATGAAGGCCTTAGCACGGATCAATNTGCCATCCCCTCTGCAGAGGATCAAAATTGTGATGGCATGTCTTCGGATCATCCTCAGGGATGTATCTCAGATCGTCACCAATAGCCCATTGTGCAGCTCTAGTGGGACGTAAACGAACTGCAACAACCAATATTACACAGAAAGGATTTCTAAAAATGGTACTAGCAATTTAGTAATTCAGCGAATAATTAAAAAAAAAATTTTTTTTGTTAAGAAAACTTCGGAAACATTTTCTCGAGGGGGGGGGATATATAGTGCTTTGATGTCATAATTTAGCATGATAGCATTTTCTTCTAGGAGACGGTAACTGGCTGTTCGGACTGTAACTGCGCCCTATGGTTTTGAAATAGCATTTTTACTTAGTCACTTCATATATATGCAGGGAGCCTCCCTAGCCGAGCGGTATCGCCGGTCCAAACACTCTGTTAAGCGTGGAGGTAGCGGGTTCGAATCCCGCCGTAACCCTGGATGTATTCTTTGTGATGTCTTTCTCTGAATTGTTCTATCTGTATTTTCTACTTGACAATGACTTATAAGCCTATATTGAGCACACAAGTCAACAAATGTATGTAATTTCAATAAAATTAATCATCATATATGTCTACTATTTATAGGTACGTAGTTTTGTTGAAGATCGGGAATTAATGATTAAGAATGGTAATATTTTTAGTGAAGTAGAGCATTTATCCTTATTTTAGAAGCACTTATCTTTACCCGTATGGGATCCAGCTAGAAAGATTGACGTTAACACTCAGTTTGATTCTGAATCTGAGTCTGCAGGAACACCATCTACTGCCACCAAGCAGAAGAAGAAGAAATCTAAAGCTCACATCAACATTAGTGATTCACAGGTTTCTTCTTCCCAGCCTGTGACTTCTCCAAAAACCGAAACTACTTCTTCACCGACGCTGATGAAGATTCTTTTAGTTGCGGTCACCCTCGAGCAGATTCCTCTCAAACCTGAGAATAAATTGAAAGTTATTTTCAATGGTTTAAAATCTGACTTAAAAACTGAAGTTTTGGAATATTTCTTGTAAGGTAGAGGTTTTGAGTGTGTTAAATTAGTCCAGTTCAGGAGGAGAACTAGCAAGATCCATGAACCACCAACATGTGAGGATCTCCTAATTTTCCTGGTTATCCAGGAAAATAACGATCATCACAGGAAGATAAACGACGTCACCATCATCGAGGGAAATCCTATCACCGTTGAAAGATACAGGGGTGACCGGTGGCAAATCCAGTGTTAACGTTGCTAGTTGTTTGGTCATGTGCAGAACAACGGCAACTGTCATTGTTTGATATTTACCGGCCCTTACCTTTGCTACACCTACAACGAGGATCGGATGAAGCCTGCCAGGTGCTGTAATTGCGGCCTGTCTAAACCAGCCAACTTCACTGGTTTTGAATTGAAAATGAAGCAGCTTCGGAAAACCTCCGTTGGTCATGATAAAGCTCCAAAGCTGTCCGATAAAGCTCCAAAGCTGTCCAAGGCTTGGAAACACCTAAAAATTCTTTTTTTCTGATCCTGAGATTTGCGATGGTCAAATCCTTTCTACTTTAGTTTTTCCTGCGACATCAGAAAAACATGACGGTTTCAACTCTTTTTTCAGCTGCTTACCTTCGAGAAATTAGCTCCTAGATTATTCAATCTCCAGTATTATTTTACGTCAGAGTATTCCACATCTTCCAAGCACCTACTACTTCATCATTACGAGGATGTGCCTTCTAAGCCGGTGCCTTCTCGCATTCATACTTTGTTTCCACTGTTGGTTAATCATGTTTATAGATTTCTTCCAAATTCTTCAAACCTAATTGTTGTTTTACTAGCAATTAGTAAAATCTTTTACAACGAGCGTATAAGTTGACAGGTAAGCATATTTAACATATCTAATCAGTTGCTCGAGAGTTCTTTTCTAAATCCATATTGTTCGCTCTGAAGAATTTTCAGGTATAATTTTATTCTCTTGTAGATAAGTTCTCTCAAGTATTTTGGGCATGGAGAGAAATTTACTTATGGATCTGAAGTTTGTAGGGTCCGAGTGATTCATGCCTGGCTTCGATATTAGAATCACTGCAGAGTTATTTCCCTCTTTTAAGAAATAATTATGAACGACGCATTAATTGAGAGTGTTTGAAATCAGGTTAATATAATCAGATGGAAAGCTTCTTTTTACGCATTTTATTGTTGACATTATCTGCGTGTCTGCCACAGGGGATCTTTTCGTTATTAATGTTCCATAAAGCAACTTAGAACGCTTTTTCTTTTATTTTTATTAACTTACATTACCATAATAAAATGAATTAAAGAAATATTATTTGTTTGATTTGATTGATAATATCCCTGTTTTCCTTGCTATTAGTTTATGAATAAAGAGAAGTCTTTATTTATAAGCTTACAGGGGCGTACGCAAGGGAGGGGTTTAAACTTCCCCCTTGATCTCAGACAAAATAGCAAAAATAAAAATTTTAGTAGAAGTTTTGCGGGCTATTATTTTTTAAGACTATATATTTTTATTTGCCTTATGCCTACTTTTTTTTTCACGGTACTTCTCAGAATACTGAAAAAACATTTACTATAATAGGGTTGTACTTTTGAAACCAAATTCGCGTGATACTGTTACGGGCTGGTTCGCAAGAATGTAACAATTTTGAATTATTTTGAAGAAAAATCACGACCTGAAATTAGTGAGGTGACAGCATCTAGAACCAATGCAAGTTTTTCTGTTGAACAGAAATGTGATACTTCCTTTGACGAAAACGTTACTAGCATAACAAAATCTGGCGAATGTGAAAGTGGCCCTCAAAGTGATACTTCCCACCCATATGACATTGGACATTTTTCAGAAGATGTTACATGCGAGAAGATATTACATTATGTTCTTAAACTTAAGAAATCAAATCGAAATTTAACTAAACAATGCTGTCTAAATAAAAAGTCAAAATTGTCTAGCTGTCTAAATTAGGGAAATAGTAGTGCTTTATTACATACTCGAATTTCTTTCAGTAGTTTCAGAAAATTATGAACACCCCCCCCCCCCCCNAACCCCCCCTTTGAAAAAATTCTGCTTACGCCACTGAGCTGAGTAGACTTTTATGTATACGTTACAAGCTTTCTTTGAGTTTGAAAAAATAGAGAATGGAGAACCCCGTTTGAAAGTAGGCGGTGTTGTTGCTCATCCCCAAATCAGGTCCATGGGTGTGCACCCTAAAGAAATTCAAAACTAAAAAGAGCATAACTGGTAAGGTCTTCCTTGCCTTAGAGGGCACTAAGTATGCGTTCAGAGCAAGAGATAACCTTCTCGGAACACCTAGTGCAAGTCTTAAACCTTTTTCGTCTATGTCAAGTTTTCAGATGCCCAATGAAGTAGGCGGTTCTTTGACTCAGCTAGAAACACGTTCATTGGTTATGCGATGAAAAGTAACGCCTATTTTCTACTTAACGGCTTCACTCGAAAGTGCGAAAAGTAGAGTATCGGTATCAATTATATACCGACATACACACACACAACTGAGTATCAGTTACAAAAACACGATGCTTTTTGTAACAGATAATGGTCAATATTCATTTAAATCTCAGTTAGTAAAAGGGTGCTAAATAACAAAGTACAATATTTAGTACAAGTTATTATTATCATTTATACTATTTTTTTTTATTGTATCTGTATTTATTGCTTTTTTTATTCGCTTTCAATCCAGATTCACGAATAATTTGGGTCTTAAAATATATGGCAGTTGATAGAATTAGAAACTGAAATTATTTTGTTAGGATTGGTTTTGTTAGGTTTTGTAAAAATAATAGCAAATCTAACAGGCTTTATCATCATTACTATCAATGAAGTAATAAAATATAAGTCTACGAATTTTAACAGGATATAATAATCACAAATTCATTTATTAATTACAAATGATTTTTAAACTAAAGGTAATGCTGAAAAAATATTTTTCATTAATTTATTTCCTGATAATTTAATTAACTGTCAAAAGAATATAAATTGAATATTTTATTTTATTTTATAATCATCGTTGAACAGCCAACAAAGTTTTTGGATTTATGACTACAAATGTTCCACTCCGTAGCCTTGTAATTTTGAACCCAATCCAGAAGACAAGGGGACTCCTGGATCAGGTATTGGGTGAAATTTGCCTTCGTGAAGGACTTTTTGAGGCAACTAACCCGCATTTAAGTTACATGGTGAGGAAAATCTCGAAAGGTTGGCCTCACGGCCAGGGGACTCTAACTCATGATTCGTTTACCCCTGAGATATTTTACATCAGCACTGGAGTCGGATGCGGAAATCCTACCAAGCAGCCATCACTGGGAATAGAACCCGGGGCAGCAGAGGTGAGCGCTCTATTCCCTGAACCACTTTGGCTCTTAATTACAAACTTGAATCCCCTTGTTAAAGTACCGTTGAACCTCGACCTATCGGGGAAAAAATACATAAATTTGAGCGAAATGAACTGATAATTGAGAAATAAATTATTCATATATGACGCGAAAACGTGAAGCGAGTGGCATAATATGATTATGTGTAGCGATGCGAAAAGAATAGCATAATTTCTGATTTTAAGAGCCTTCAGAACTGATCCAAAGCGAACTACTACCGAAATCTATATAAGTGAAAATCGAAAAAGTCAGTTCAGATAATAACAATAA